GTGCAGACGTGGGAAAGTAGTTTCCGTGGAGGTTCTCTGATTGTTTTTAGAGTCAAATCTTGGTCGATTGTCCTAATTCTTTGTTTAATATTTGCTATAAATTCCCCCGAGAATTCCGTCTTGTTGATGCTAAGTTTGAAGTATTTTTGCTAATTTTCTTTCTTTCAATTTATCATGTATAGTCATAATAATTCGTAAGAATTCGTTAAAATTCATTAAAATTCAGGTCCTTCTATTTTCTCATATCTACTTGTCGTATGAGGTTTTGTGATCTATCTGGCATATTTCCATAATGGGTTTCCATAGTGTGACTGTTATTTCTCCTACAACGCTGGCACCGCACCGTGAGCACAACCTGAAGATCGACCTTGAGGAAGGCACTTCACCACCCTTGGGTACTATGTACTCTCTCTCTACTTCGGAACTCGAGGCTCTCCCGGCGTTCTTAGATGAACACCTAGCCTCCGGGTTCATTCATCCTGCTACTTCCACTCACATGGCACCGGTCCTCTTCGTCTGCAAGAAGGATGGATCCCTCTGTCTTTGCGTTGACTTCCGAGGGCTGAACAAGATCACCAAAAAAGATCGCTACCCACTTCCCTGCATCTCAGACCTCCTTGACACCCCTAGCCATGCCACAGTCTATACCAGACTCGACCTCCGGCATGCTTACCACCTGGTTCGCATTGCAGCAGGTGACGAATGGAAGACGTCCTTCCACATGCACTATGGTTCCTATGAGTGGCTTGTCATGCCATTCGGTCTCACAAATGCACCCACAGCCTTCCAGCGATTCGTCAACACGATCTTTGCCGACCTCTTGGACGTTTCTGTTAGAGATGGGCGGATTCAGATGACTCCGGAGTGGAATTGGAGACTTAGCGTGGAGGGACCTTGGCCTCAGCGACTCAAGCGGAGCGCTGTGCCATTGCTGTTTGTCCATTTTTTCACAGTAGGCGAGCAGGAAGTCTCTAGGGGGCATTTCAGGTCGATTTCAGACTGAGCCCGCTACAAGTATGTACAAGCGCCGATATATATAATGGAGGGGGCAAAAGCACAAGGAAGCGAAGGGGAACCGAATCAGAACGAAGGCGTCTGAACAGGAACAAAGGGATGTCAGAAGCGGAGCGGTACCAAAGGTCATAAGGCAGAACCTATGATACATCCGAAAGGAGGTAAGGAGGGCGAGGCCCAGAGGGGCAGGAGGATGAGGGGAAGTGGGGATGATGACTACTGGCTAAAATGGGAAGAAGCAGCAGTCCAAATAGGGATGAGGGAGTAACGCGAGAAATACATTACAAGTGGTGAAAGTGCCGAAGATGATCTGCGAAGCTCGGAGGTTGCAGAGCTTATGGAGGTGGGGTTGAAAGTCCGAGGAATATTGGCAATGGTGTTTATGTAAGATAGACGACTTTCAAATCCCGGTACTATCCGGAATTATCCGAATGTGGCAGTACAAGGTCACGAGCGGCAAATATTTCTGGTCATTGCAAGGTCACGTGGAAAATATTTAGCTGGTTATGTAATTAGGCAGAGTTGGCTGTCTCTTTCGGAATTACTTATGTACTTTATACATGTCCTTTGGCTGAGAATTCTTGATAAACCTCATGTACTGCTTCAGGTGGCAGTCCGCGATGCCCTTTGTATTTCTTTACTGCCCAGGCAGTCTCACGACCATTCAACCCTTGGCGATAACCATCCATGTATCGCAATGAGCGATTTGAAAACCTGAGAATTAATGTTATCTGGAAAGTATGAAAAAATAAAAGGTTTCCTTACTTGCGCATTGATGTGATTGATACAGATTCCAGTGCTTTCTGTAAATTTAGTTCGACATCTTCGACTCTTGAAGAAGGTGGGAACTCGCGATAAACACGCTTTGAATACCCCCACACTTGCTCAATAAAATTAAGCTCGCAATGGAATTTTGGAAGAAATAGGGTGCCAAACCCAGCAGCTTCACAGTGTGTCTGAAGCAGGGATTTGACATTAATGAAATCAGCAGAATGAAAAAGGATATTTCGGCAGCAACATTGTGCTGCTGTGCCACTGCATTTGAACCTGTCACACTGAGCACGGAGCCCAGTGACATCATAGCCTCGTTCTTCTAAAAGTTTGGCCATCCCCTTGAAATATCCGGGATAATCAGGGTGGTCATCGGGGTAATAAAGGTGTTGTATGTGACCATCCCATATTGTATCTGCCATATGCTTAGTTGTGGTTTGAGGTTTTCCATTGGGCTTGTATATGATTGCACCACTCTCGTCGCGTGCATTCACCAATACTCCCCATGGCTTAGGACCCTTTGGCATCTTGAGTGCTGACAAGGCATTTTCAGCACGTTTGGAGTGAGTATGTGCATTATCGAAGACCAAGACATGATGGTCATTGGGGTAATGCTCTGTCAAGATCCGCATTGCGTTTGATGCTTGTTCAATTACACCATCACTTGTGAAGTATCCGTCGCGATTACTCCCCGGTCTGAGCAGGACCCAAGCTGTATGATCACCACCTTTGAGCCAGCCATAATCGGCTGAGACAAAGTCGGCCACCATGACAGATGCACCCTCACCCTTTGCATAGGGTTTTGCTGTCTCGGAATCATGAACCCAACGAACCTTCCGACGGTCGTGTGCATAGAAGACTGATTCATCATGGAACCAGACCACAGTACGACGAAACCCATTCGGCTCAGTTACTTCTTCCCCATTTTCATCCCACTTTCTCATCAACTCTCCGTAATTTTTCATTGCAGGCAGAAACACCTCTTGCCGATATCGAACCACATCTTCTCGCTCATGGCCATCAGAATACTGCCCTTTCTTCTCCCTCTGCCAGCGATACCCCATTCTTTTTAGCCAGCGCTGACCTGTTCGGACAGATATCGGTTTATCCCGACCTAAGCACTCAAACATTTCCGGAGTATTCAAGAACTGAACGACATCCATTGCTGAGATGAATGGACCGAGACTATGCAGGTGAGCCTCGATTTCCTGTCTAATATCCTCGTCCATCACAAGAATAGACTCCTTCCATTTTCCATAGGGGTTCATCGGAATTGTGTTGAAATCGACCATGAACGCACGACACCACTCCCGCAACTTAGGCCCATATGACTGTGGCCCATGATCCCATGAGATCGCCACCCACTCCGACGCTTGGATCCAGCCCACCTCCTTGGTCAAGCCCATGTCAGAACGGTACACACGGAACAACTGGAGCATTTGTTCCAGTCGCATCCGCGTTAAGTCATCGAACTTCGAATGTTTATGGCCACCACCTTTCCGGTGGGGCCGGATGATTTCACTGATGCGTTGCGCAGCTTCTTCAGCTAACTTTCAGGATGGGGCAGGGACAAATGCGCGGGGGTCGTGGTGGGTTCGTGCAAGGGGTTCCTCACACACTGTTGGACTTGGCATTGCAGTTTCTGATGCGCATACTTCAGGTACGTCGAGCCGCTGTGGGTTTGGATACACAAAAGTCGCATCTGACTCAGGATTGATGGAATCCATACAGCGCGGAGGCTCACCCAGAGCCTGGCCATCAGCATCACCAAGGATTTGATCATTACATTGTGTAGTGTCATCACTACTCATGTCGGTGTCACTAATGGTGATTGGGTCGCAGGGAAATGGGGTATGGGAGTTGGATACGTGGTGTCGGTGGAAAAAGTCATGTAGGGTCCATTTCTTCCCATCAGACACAGTTTTTTTGATTGCCTCTTGTATTCCTTTCTTAGTAGCCCTTTGCTTGGCTGCATGATAGCGTCGGGTGCGTTCTGCTGGGGTGCCGTTGATTGTGGTCCCTGCATAACGGACTTTGTTTCCAGGTATTGCACCACGCTTGTTTATTAGATGTGAAAGGACATCTTCAGCTTTAGACAAGCGCTCAGCTAGTGGGGTATCGAAATAGGTGATGTCGACATCCTCATTCCAATCCTCAGCTCCGGACTGACTGTCATCACTGTCGCTTTCTGGCTCGATGTCACAGTTTCCAAGTCCATCCTCATTGCCATCCTCAGCTTCAGACTGGCTGTCACGACTATCACTTTCTGGCTCAATACCAAAGTTTCCAAGTCTGGAGTCTTCATGAGCCATGAGGTTAGGGCCCAGGGTGGTGTTGCGTGGTTTTTTCTGAGTCCAAAAAGTTTTGCTAACTCAGAATGGATAGTGCCTTGGCTAGTCAGTGGCATACCTTAGAGTATTCCCCAAGATTGTTTGTGCGATGGCGCTTCCTGTGTACAGGCATGAGTGAGCACAGCGCTTAAAGGGTAGAAAGGCATGGCTTCCTTTTTTGGATCCGGCAATCCCCGTAATACAGTTTCACACTGCCCATGCTGGCAAACTTGAAATGGGGGGTCTTTTTTTTTTTGCAGGATTCTGGTCAGGGAGTGAAAGAGATGCGGATTCCGATGTAATGAAGTATATTGAAATTCATTTAATAATAATGATGTATATCAACATTTGGAAACCGAGAAGATATAAAACAGCATCACCTCTACACCTTTTAGGTGCCACATTGGCGTCAAAAGTGTTGAGGGGGGGATGAGCAGCAATGCGAATTTCACAATAATTTGCATCCGGATAGTACCGGGATTTGAAAGTCGTCTATCTTAGTATGAGATCACCAATGCAATGGACTAAGACCGAGGTGGAGTCAAAGTCCGAGGTAGGAACTATGACAGAGGCTCGGAGCAAAGGTACGAGCGGTGCCCAAGTACAAAGTACGGGTCAGCGGCAGGAGGTCGTAACTTGGCAGGAGGTCAGCGGAAGAGGACCAGAGGGAAGAGAGGGGAAGGAAGAGAGGAGAGGTGTCAGGTCCGAAGGTGGGTATTGGAGCGGACAGGAGACGAGTAGGAGGATGACAGAAGGGTGGAGGTGTTGTGAGGAGGGAGCGGAGGAGTATGAGGAGGAGTAGGAGGAGGGTGACGAGAGGGGTGGTGTTCGGTCCGAGGTGGTTATTGGAGCGGACGGAGATAGGACAGGAGAGTGATGGAGCCTCCGAGTGTGTACCGATGCCTGAATTAGCCTATCAATGGGGTTGGTCTGTCCACCTTCATATGCTAGATTTCAACCCCTATTCGATTCGTGCTGGGTCTATTCGCGCGAGGGATGACACAGCATCTGCGTCGAAAGACTTGTCCGCAGGCAATTCACACACTGGGGAGGAGACTTGGGTTCCCGATACCGATTCCGATGACAGGATCGAGCATGGCGCAGACGCGGAAAGATGGTCAGGCAATGAGGAGCCCCCTTCATCCGGTTCGATCAGGCCACCAAGGATATCAAAGGATTACAGGATTTCAAGTCGTATGGAGACTCGCCTCGAACCGACTGTATTACCAAGTCGCAAAGTCACCACTGGACTTCCATACCGCGAAGTGACGAGTGACGACACATTGCAGGGAGACATGTTTCCGATGATAGATGCAGAGAGGATATTGCTCTTTGATGTGAGTCTATCTTATACATTCATTTGACGAGCTATGACCATATTATGATTATTTCCCGGTTTTCTAGAGAGACCAAGCCGCCATCAAAGTCCTGGTCATTTAAACGCACGATACCCATATGGATTGTTTATAATCGTCTTTGCGTTTACCCCAGTTTGCAATGGCCGCTACAGTGCTTTCTCTGGACCTTCATATTACTGAGCCCAGCTATATATGCAGCGCAGGTTATTAGATTGTGTATCGAATACCTTGTTGCTGACTCTTGATAGTGCAAGGCTTCCCAGCTGAAGTTCTTCTCTGTTGGTGCAATCGCCACCTCGCGACGATTACCGTGCACGGACTAGTGAGAAAACTACTTGTCTCGGCAAACGTCCTACCTGGCGCTATGTGGGGGCCGAACTGCATGGTGTCAGGATTCTTAAGGTCAAGCTACCGCCTTGGCGTTCCCCCACCTCGTTGTATGCAAGGGGCTTCCGTTCAATGGACCCTTAGTTGTCTCGGAAGTAGGCTTGTATGTTGGCGGAATAACTGTGCAAGCGCCCTAGCTATTTTCGCTGGATTTTCGATGTCGCAAATTTCTCCTGAACACGGATCCTCCACATTTTTTACGCGTTGTGCACATTGGGTTACGGGGTGACGTCATCATGTGCTTATCAACTTGTAATTAGGGTAGCCCTAGTTAGGCAAGCTTGCGAGGCAAGGGGTTCATTCCGTGTGGGGAAAGTGGAATACCACCCCCCTGAGAAATAGTCAAAGGCTGAATCGTTGTCGCAGGCACCAATGGCCCAACCTGCACATGCCCATTATGGCTGGATAAACTAGTCCATACACAAGTGCTTTCATTCCGATGTGGCTCAGAAAGCGTTACAGGTATCTTATGTTTTGTATGTGCAGATTGTATGGCACGTAGTAAATATTACAGAAGGGTCATTCGGCCCCTGCAAAGCCGGTCACCGTGTGTCCGATACATGTATACCAACGCATACGTTCTTGAGTCACTGGAAAGCGTAGGGGTGACGTGAGAGAATATGATATACTCGCACGTCAAATTGAACCAAGAGGGTTGCTCGAGGTCCGACCCTACACTTTACAAGAGGGGGCCATATATATATGCCCCTGACCCCGGCCCCGGGCCAACTGATGCATGCTATTAAGATGGAGACGTACTTCCGGGTTCCCAACCCCACAGCCCAAGGAAGCAATACCAGCTCGAGATCGAGAGCAAGATTGTTTTGCACACAAGAAGAGTGCTGCGCATTGGCAACAGCAGCCGGCGACACAGTCCCATGCAGTCAAGACGACTTGTGTTCATGCCACCAGTGGGCACCCGGTGCTATGTACCCGAGCAGAGCAGACCGCGACCACAAGATGAATTAGTCCTTCACCCCAGTATGGAATTCGGAGCTTGGGCTCAAGACCTATGCAGGCTTTTCCATGCTTTCTTTGGACAACCTTACGTAATGAATTCAATCAACTTGCAAGAATGCCAGAGGACCTCGTCTCGTCTCAACTCACCCAGCTCAGCGTCAATCATGATAAGTCACGACTCATTATTACGGCTCTCCCGGTGGAGGTTTTGGTTAACATTTTGAAGCACCTTTCTTTGAATGATCTCATGAGATGCAAACAGGCGAGTTTTAGTTAGAAGCAGTTCGCTTGCCCTTCGTTCCCCCTCTCCTCACGTTTTTATCATACATTTTTATGGTTCTTATATAAGTGACGTTCGTAGGCAACTAAAGCCTTTCTCTATGTCATCGAGGGGTCGTTGGTTCTCCAGTATAACATCGAGCGCGAAACTTACCTTCTTGCCGGTAGCACTGCGGGTGATGTATATGCAGAGACTAATACTGAATGTTGATCTGATGGAACCCCAGATCCAGATCATCTCTCTATGGCAGAGAAACTTACGAGTCTTCGTAGGCGGGAAGTTGGATGGGCTAATTTGAAATGGCAGCCTCAAACATATACCATTTTGGCTAATCCACGGCCCCGCCGTTTCACTTCCGGGGACACAATATCATACAAGCTGCAACATGGATTCTTTGCGTATGGGTACTACACATCCCACATGTTGGATGACCCTGATTGTTTATCGCTCCACTCCCTTCCGAGAGTCGCGGATCGCCTTTCGAATTCAAAGGGTCACGGATTATCATCCGCACTGCTCGGGTCAATTGATTCTGAGCGTCAGATGTACCTAGAAGGTGAAGATGGCGATGACGTTGAGATAGACTGGTCCCAAACACCTATTCTCCACCGCCTCGGCTTCGAGTTTCTGGACTTCAGTATCGATCCGGAACAGAATTTGGCCATTTACGTTTGCGACGACTTGGATAAGGTGTTTGTCAGAATAAGGCAAATGTCTGATAATGGCTTTCACCCGATGGCCCAATATGAGACTCTCGATGCTTGCCCGCTGGTTGGTCCTACGCACATTCTTGTTGAGATCTTTGGCGACTTTGTCGGCGTCATGGTACGGGATCTTTTGGATGTGGATCGGTATTTTCGGATTTGGAATTGGAAGACAGGGATATGTCAATGTGTAAGTGTCTTTCACTGGCTCTGCATATGAGACATTACCCTGAACCTCAAGGGTACAGGAACTCTCAGATTCTATCATGAGGTCGTTTCTTTTCTTATCTCCGCGCCATTTCATCATTTTTCGATATGGGGGGGACCCCATTTCACTAGAGGTCTATTCATTTAGACCTTGTCATTACGACGGTCCCCCTGTAAAACTTTGCCTTCCGTCTCAGCATGTCGCGACATTCGAATTACCCGATTTCTTCCCCAAGTTGACGTATTCACACATCTCGCCGTTGCACTGCCGGCCCAGTCCTGTCTTTGAAGCTCCAGAATATGAAATTTTATCCGGGGGAGAGCCGATTCCTGCAGACGGACCTATTCCAAGCATGTCCTCCGTTCCATCAGGTTCAGTTCAAGATTCTTCCACAACCCCGGACGATACGCCAAAATGGGGGCGTACATATGCTACCAACGGACCGTTTGTTCGTCCCCGGCAGGATGATTTCAGGGTCGCTGTCCTTTCGCTTACTCCGTCCTCCGTGTGGGAACAGTCTTACAGGCTGTTTATTGCCGTGTCCGACATCTATCGCACGACCAAACGTTTCGAGAGTGATTTTCATACTACTAAAGGAAAGATACTGGAGGACAGCCCAGATGCCAACTCCGACGCCGACTGCGTGTTCCCTATCCATGTTCCATGGAATGATTGGGGACCTCGTTCGGCGCGCTTGTTGGCGACTGCCGGTACAGAGACATTTTGCTCTATTTTCATGAACCGATACATCTTTGGCACCCTCGAGCATGTACCAATGCCTGAAACTCGCGAAGATTCCAGTCAATGGGGTTTGTCTACCCGCCTTCATATACTGGATTTCAACCCCTATCCGATTCGTGCCGAGTCTATTCGCGTGAAGGATGACACGGCATCTGCGTCGAACAACTTGTTTAGAGACGAATACCCGCTGAGGAGGACACTTGGGTTCCCGATTCCGATCCCGATGACGGGATTGAGCATGGTGCGGATGCGGAAAGACAATCAGGCAACGCCGGAGCCCCCTTCATCTGGTTTGATCCGGCCACCAAGGATATCAAAGGATTACGGGGTTTCAGGTCGTATGACTGTATCCCCAAGCCCTGATGCCGTTGGCAAGGTCATCACTAGACTTCCATACCGCGGGGTGACGAGTGACGACACATTCCGGGGATATCTGTTGCCGTGGATAGACGCAGAGAGGATATTGCTCCTTGATGTAAGTCTATCTTATACATTCATTTAACAAGCCATGGCCATAGTATGATTATTTTTCTGGTTTTCCAGAGCGCTCAAGGCACCATTAAAGTCCTCGTCATTTAAACGCATGTCACCCGTATGGATTGTTTAAGATCCAAAATCGTCCCTGTCATTACCCTAGTTTGAAATGGCCACTTGCAGTGCTTTCTCTGGACCTTTTCCATCGTCATGTGCTCATCGACTTGTGATTCTTCCGCAACTGGGGCAGCTCTAGTTGACCGAGCTTGCGAGGTATCTAACAGGGGTCATTCCGTGGGGGAAAGTGGAATCCTCTCCCCCCCGAGAGATGACCGAAGGCTGACGGGTGCCGCAAGCTCAGCCATTCAGTTTGAGGGGGGAACAAAAGTAGCTTGGTTTGTCATGAACTGTCCCCGGGACTTTCAGCATGCGAGAACGTTCTCATTTTAGTCAGCAGCTACGCCGAGACTGAATTGGAAGAGGATGAGATTGGCATTTGTATATACATAGTCACCCAAACTTGCATTATATGAAGTCGATTGGCTGAATAAGCTACATGGTACGTGCGTCTTCTACATATTTTGTATGAAGATTGTATGGCGCGTACATGGTACATACGTTGCAGAAGTAGCATTCGGCTCCTTGCAAAGCCGGTCGCCGCGCGTCTCCACCGTTAACGGATACGTGCGTTCTCAAGTTACTGAGAGTGACGCGACGCGCGACGTGAGAGAATATATATGATGTGCATACTCGCACGCCGAACTGAACCAAGAAGGTTGTTCGATCGAGGTCCGGCAGCCCTACACTTTCGTTCATACGTACCTACCTACAAGTAGAACTACTCAAATCGATCAAGTGGGCCATTCATCTCTCAAGAGCTTCACATCATATATGCATGCCCCTGACCTCCGGCGCAGCTAGCCTAGCTGATGGCGTGCTATTAAGATATGGAGACGTACTTCCGGTCCCTTCCTCAACCAGAAGAAAAATTGTTTTGCCAACATGAAGATCGAGAGCTGCGCGTTGCATGGCGAACAACCAGCGGCGCAGCTAGACCTTGTACAACGCCGTAGTTAAGACGACTCGTTCATGCCTCTAGACTTGGTGGGCAAAGACAATATGAGCAAGGCAGTGCACCCCATGTGTACCCGAGCAGATCGAAGTCGAATTAATAGTTCTCCCCCCCCCCCCCCCCCCCGGCAAGTGTGCATGTATGTGGCTTGTAATTCGGAACTTGAGCTCAAGATCCATGTGCACGGGGAGATACACAGACGCTGGCTAGGTGACGAGAGATTTTGATTCCAACAGCGTTGGGCCGGATATGAAATCATTAGACGTGGGGAAGAGGGGGAAGGTTAACTTTGAGGATAATGATCAGATGAACTCGGACCTTCAGAACAATTTCTGCAGATCAGCTGCAAGCGGGTCTTGTGGAGGTGTTATGTAAGCCCTTGGGGGGGAGCTGACTCGGAATCAAATCAAATTAGGATGTGAATATATGTATTGCCCGTTTGAACCGTGATCATGCCGGGAACACGTAACTTTGAACACGCGTAAAGTCAGACATCCTTCCAGTCTCCTGCCGTGGATTCGTCGGGATGATGGAAGGGGGTTTTGCTATGATTTGCTTCGGGAGTTGACAAATTACGCCAGCGCTTTTTCTGACTAGGCGCTCTCTTGGCATCTGCGCTTTGTGTTGCTGAGTCAGCGCAGCCGCTGCGGTCGTCACGGAACAAGTGATCGTTGATTTACATACCAAACTTGAACAAGTAACATACTGCAAATGGTTGCGTAATCTCTTCGCCACCGCTCATGGGGGCAACCAAGAAGGAGAGATGGCATCATTTGACCAGTGCAAACAAACAAACAAACAAATTAAACCTTTTGATCACACAGCATACGCGTCAAACCATTCAATCGACTCCCGGCGCAATTTTTCCCAAGGAGGCGAGCTAACCTCTTTGAGGGTATTCAACGGGCGCCGAATTTTTTGCGCGGCAGCGAAATAATGTCAAAGGGTTGTATAAAGTGCATACGTTTCCCCCCTTTCACAATGGGAAACTCAATCATCAGCTTGCGGCTGCTTGCTCAGCTTTTGAGTCATCCTCAATCGTTAATCTCCGTTACCACACACACACGCGTGTCCCAAGGGTCTTCATTTGCATATTCACCTTTGCGCGGGTTCCATACATAAGAAGCCAATAAAGAGCTTTTCCAACCCAACCCATCCCATTGCCCTCACAACCAACTTAACCTTCATACCTAACTACTACCTTGCTTTCTCTCAAACGATGAGACTTCGACCCCTAAGACAACCGCAGTGGGAAGTCACCGATCTCAAAGAAGTCGCCCCTACGCCGATCTACTATGACTCCGAGGCAGATGGTAAGTTCTTTGTGCTTCTCGTTCTCGTTCTCGTTCTCGTCCTCGTCCTCGTCCTCAGAACAAACCTCATTCTTACTCCACGTTCAATTCCTTAGAACTTCAAATATTTAGTGTCGCTCCTCGTGAGGTCACCGGAACGTACATGTTCGATGGCATATCGTCGAAAACGTTCAAGTACTCTGACGCCTTGACTCATTCACGCACCAAACTCATGGAGGAGATCTCCAAAGATGGATATAATTTCCTCCTCATGGAAGGGTGAGTTTTGTCATTCTTATCCTTGGAAATGTTTTTGCTTTGGCTGACTGTTTGGTGGATTGCTCTCTTTTATAGGTGGTCGATAACAACGATGCGCAAATCGAAAGTTGAGAGGATAGAAGTTCGATATCATGCACAACCGGCAGTTGCTAGAGGGTGGCAACGTCCGCGGACGCCTCCTTATCTCCAACTGCTTGAAAGTCATTGAAAGCAGGCTGTCGTGTTACTTCCCTCCCTTACATCTTCCCCCTTCCACCTCTCTTCTCTCCCGCAGCAGTCCGGACGGGCAGTATCCGCGTCATGCCATCGGCGATTTTTGTTCTTGGCAGCAAAAAACGCACATGTGATCGTTGTTCATCTCCGGATCCGGACAACTTCAACGTACCCACAGTCATGCAACAACAACAATAACGATGCACAACGACAACGACAACGGTTGCACTACGAGAGAGTACCCTGTGCACGTTGCCTTCCCTCCATGACCTGGTACCATTCTATTCGCGCTGGATCTCCATGATCCGATGGGATTTTGACATCTTCATGCCTACATTTGGGCTGGTTCAATTCCTTTGCTCGGATTTTCCAATTGTTCTTCGGGCTGGCCATCATCCTCTCTCTCTCTCTTAGGGTTGTTAGTCATACATTATTTATTTATCATCATCATCATCATAACACTACTAGTACTAGTACTATTTACAATTGTACGCGGGACTGCATAGCTACTAGCTAGTGCAACATGCCCAGTCTTTTTTTCATTCAAAATCCCGGAATTGATTTCCCAGCTTTTTTTACTCTCGTTGTAATCCACATGGAGTGGCACATGTGTACATATTCCGTCCCTCCCCCCCCCAACTCCAAAATCTAATCTCAGGGTGTTGCAGTTGGAGTTACATAACTTGGGTTTGTTATTCCATCCAAGAAGATATACTTTTTTGTGACTTGTGGGTTACTTCCGCACGTTGAGCGGTATCCGTACGTCCTGGCATGGTTCCCCACACAACACAAAAGCTTGGGGGGAGTCCCCCGGGGTGGAATCGCCGATCGCCTTGAACTCCAGGGGTTATCCTCGTTTTCACGTGGCAGAGCGGGCATCCAGACCGAAGAAGTACAATGAGGGGGTTCGTCCAATACAAAGTGGGTCAACTGGTGGTTCCTCGGGATTGGTGTCATCGTCTGTTTTGGTGTCTGTATCTAACTATGATGGGAGAAATTATAGTTCTTCGCGTTCTTTGCCCCCGTTCCATCGTGTCTCGTTCCTGCTGAATTCCGTTCCGGGATCAGGTCCGTCCTCGGGTGTTCGTACGTTTGTCCGGGAATTTCACCTGGGGGGGTCGGCCCATGAGTTTTTTTCATACAGCCATCACGTCTCAAGCTTCCCGCGTTGCCCAGGAGGTTGTCTGTTGTTTCTTGAGTGAGTAGTTGGGCATACGTCAGTATGCTGTTGGGTCTCGGCCCAAAGTGCGATCCTAAAAGGGCCTCGATCCAAACAAACCTAAACAGTTTACATTTGAGAAGGCTGTACATACATACAAGGGGTCCTTGCACAAGTCCCTTGGGCGTCTATCTCTAACATGGAAAAGCTGTGCGTGGGTGCTCCTGTTGTGTGATTATCCCTCTCGCTGATTGCCTTTCGGCCTTGGCGCCTTCATTGTCCCCACCCCATGTAATTCCTCAGGTAGCTCTCCCTCGCCTACTTATCATCTGCTGCGTGTCTGCGGGGGGACGCGCCTCCATCCGTCGCATCATGGGGATAGGATTAGTTTGGGTGTCATAGGTTTTGAAGGGCTGCTGCTCACACATACGAACTGGAGTAGCCAGTGTGCCCTTTTTCGGCCTTTCAACGTATAATTAATCCGTGCTTGCAATTTGGGGTATCAGCACAGCATCAAATCATTCCTTCCCTCCCTCCCTCCCCCCCTCTCCTTCTTCTTTCTTAACTTACCTAGTCCAGACAGCAACATTCGGGCTTCGGGCTTTCTGTTACAAGGAAAACCCAAAAAAACGTCCCAACAACAATAACATTGAAGAACAATACAATCGATCGATCGGATCGAGCGAACGAACGAGCGAACGAACGAACGTGTGTGTGTTGCCTTTGCTTACTTTGGTCACGAAAATCGAAAAGTCCAAATCGAATCAGGGATCGCGAATCGTGGGTCGCAGATTCGTAAAGTATATCGCGTGCCTCTCCCTCCCCCCTTGCACGTTTCCACGACTTCTGTGCCTGTCGACCAACTGAAATCGATCATAAATCGGTAACAGTACTAGTGCTGTGATCAACCCCGCCCCAAGGTTCTTTGTTGCTTGTATCGATCTACATACTTGCAACCCCCCCAACAAGACTTCGATCTGCCAGACGGACGCGATTTTTTTCGTCACCCATATTCATTTGCCTTTTTGAGGAAAAGAGGGACAAAAAAAAAAGAAACGAACCACTTGTTGTTTCTTCCTAAATACACTACTTACTATGGTGACGACGTTGGATCAGCACGAACATCATTCAAGTGGAGGCGAACAACTTGTCGATGCTTCTACGATCAATACTTCGGCTGCTAGTAGGACTACACCATGGCCACAAAGTCCCGGTCCCACCACCAGCACCACCAGCACCACGGCGACGGCGACGGCGGCGTTGCACAATTCTACTATGGACGATAGATTCTCCTCGATACAATCCCCATCTCCATCTCAGGGGGATACGTTGAGATCGCTTCTGGAAGCTGAGAAGACGAACGGTTTGAAGGTCGGTATGCGATGCGCATCCGAAAGTTCGGCTGTGTTGGGTTCGCAGTTATATATGGGGACTATCCGGTATATTGGACCTATCAAAGTTCCGTCGAAGCCGGAGACGGGGTGTGTCAGTCGTGATGGTGGTAGTAGTGCTGACGTTGGTGGCGTCGGTGGCGTCGGTGGCGGCACTGGCACTGGCACTGGCACTGGCAGTTGTGATAACGGGAACGCTCAGGACGATAGTGATGACGAATTACCGGAACTTTTGCGTCCAAGTAGACTCCTTAGTCGTCTTCGAGTGTCGGGGTTCGACGAGAGTGGTGAACCGATTTTCATGGGGCCTGATGAAGAGTTGGAAGGTGTGGAGAAGGACGTGGAAGTTATGTGGGTAGGGATAGAGTTCGACGATCCCGTTGGAAAGAACAACGGAAGGTGAGATAGTCTCTTGGGTTTTGGACCACCTTTCTAGTTTTTGGTTGTCCCCCCCTCCCCCTTATTTTCCTAAGGGAAGACGCACTCTCCCCGATAGCCCCTCGGTGCACCGCGCCAGTGCTTGGAGGTGCGGTCCCCATCCAACGATGCCTAGGGGGGCCCTATCAGTGAGGGGTGGTGCCAGACCAACCCTCTCCCTTCGCATCGGCGTTGGTGCGGAAGTCGCTCATGATTTTTCGCCCTTGGGAGAGGACATAATTCCCACCACTCCCCGTCGGGGGGCCTTCCATCCCTTCCATGCCTCCAGTTCCTGGGCGTAATTGACACCCGAGCAAGCCTCGAGAGAATTTCCCTGAATTTTTTATCGTACGCCCTCCGCGTACTTTTTTTTTTCCCTTTCAGTCCATCTGCTAACGTTATCCTTTCATTTCTTTCCTCCCATTCGTATGTAGCCTAAACGGCAAATCATATTTCGATTGTGAACCCTTACACGGACTCTTCGCTCGTGCAGAACGCGCACTTGTACTCCACCAACCGATCCCGACTACTGCTAACGCTATGATAACGACGACTCCACCCCATCACCGCCGCCATTCGTCGAATCCAACTCCAGCGCGTGCCAACGTATATGAAGTCATCATCCTATCGTTGACACCGCTCTCTCGAATCGCACCGGGACTCTATCTCGGCAATTCCACCGCAGCAGAAGATACTCGACTTTTACAATCTCTCGGAATTACGCACGTTCTTAACGTGACGGAGGAACTCCCGATGGTCGAATGGGCCCCCTCCATGAGGATTACGCTCGCGGATATGGCACACGCGAACCTATTGGATACGTTTGAGGATGCGCTGGGTTTCATCGATTTGGCATTGGGCGATCAAAGGGATGTCAAGGCATTTACGAATGCGCGGTCAAGTGTATTACCATTATCGAGGAATCCTCAATCGTCAGCGCCGCCGCCGCTGCCGCCGTCCTCGTCACCACCTCCGAGGGGTATCCTAGTTCATTGTCTAATGGGTCGCTCTCGTTCGGCATCCATCATCATCGCGTACATCATGCGAAAGTACAAACTCAACTACCGCGCAGCACACACTTATGTCCATTCGAAGCGACCTATCATATGGCCTAATCTGGGTTTCGTGAATCAGTTGAACTTGTGGGGTGAATGGGGATGCAAAGTCGACAGGGAGAGTAAGGAGTATCGGAACATTAGGGAAGGAGGTCTGGATACGTATGGGAAGCCGAGAATCTTGGTGGAATTGAACGCTCTGGCGACGGCTACGAGGGAGGGAACAACCAAGGGAGTCAGTTGAGGCTGATCAATCTTAGTGCCAGTGCCAAGGCCAGCATTTTGGAAATGTACACAATTGGTTAACAGTAAAGAAAATGGACTTACCTAACCGTCTGATGGGTGAGTAAATGATGATAAGGTTACTGAAAGTACAATGCAATATGGGTTACGTGCAGATGTGAGTTTGAGTTGCGGTCTGAACTTTTAATTGTGCATGACTGTCGATCAAAATAAATTGCGATCGCCTAGGTGCGCAGAAACATCGCTAGGTGTAGAGGGCGTGGGTCTGGTCTGTTGAAGTGGCATTCCCTTTGTTGTCGCGGTTTTTATGTTGTCCTAACGCTTTAGCCTTTGTTCCTTTGCGTCACACAGAAATGTATATAAGATGTGTGCGATATCTAATGACAATGCGATATCGCACTCAGGATGTTGGGCTGCGATGCCGCGATTATAACATGACCTTGTATCTTGTAGGAGGGAGGCCGAAACTACTTGGGGGGCATGTTCACTTACGGGCTTTGACATCATATCAATTATAAGATCGACCTCGCCACCCAATAATGCCCAAACAAGCAAAACGGTGTTCCGTCCAGGCTACGTCCTGTGGATGGGTTAATTGACAATGACGTCGCATGGCTCCTTGGGCTACATTCCCTATAAGATTTCTCGCACTACGAGACGTCCAATGGTGATCCTTCCAGGACTCTCGAGGTGGCTAACATCTTGTGTGTCTCGCACGAACATCAGTAGTCGATCTGTGCATATATACTTCATGAGACCAGAAGCTGTTGTCAGGCCAGTTGCAAACCTAAAGTAAAATCGAAGGTTTGAGAGCTGGCCACGATTTGCGACAAAAAAAGGGTAGAAGGAACACCTGTACCCTTGGTATACAGTGGGAAGTTCAAAACTATCCCTGCTAAAATAAGCTGAGGTTTCCTCGACTGGGGAGTAGTCGTTTGCCGGGCGGGAGGACTCATGAGTGGACAATGCGTAACCGAATGATTGATCTGGGAACATTGACCAACCCCCCTCCAGTAACGCCTTCTCTTGAAGCTACTTCCGTCGCGTTACCCCATTAATGAGGACCTTCCCCACATCTTCCTCCCCGGCCAGCTTGTCGATGAGTTCACACTGAGCCACTCCGGCAATTTAGCTCCCGATCTTCCCGACAGACATTTTGTGTGGGGACACCTAGCCTAGCTGCAATCGCTCTCGAGCATGGTCATATCCTGCCTCCTTTGCAAAATATATGACCACATGAACTGTATGTATGCACTGCGCCGCGCGTTCTATTACAACTCAAGACAGACGAAAGTCAAAAGATCCGAGCCACCGAAGCAAACTTTCGAGCAGTGTATGTTGAGCTTATGATGGACCGACGAAGAATCACCGATGTGTAAAGCGTGTGGTCCAAAGATGAATGATTTTGCTGAGCGGGACAAAACATCCTCAACTGGCTCCTGCTCCGTTCGCCAGTGAAGAAGGACGGTGTGAAGTCATGGGACGCTTCTCCCAATGTTTCTGAAACCGCGGTGGGTGCCGAGGAATCCTTTCCAGAATCAGTGTGCTCGAACAGAGCTCTAATGCACACATACATACACCTTCAAGAAACCTGCGACATCAAAAACACGAACCAGTGGATCCGCCTCTTTGGGTCAGCAGTTTTCGTTGGCGAAAAGACCCATGGGACAGCCTTCAGCAGACTCAGCTACTGCCGCAAAGCAATTGATCACCCCTCCCATGTCTGACTCCCACCCAGCATGGGAAGATGGAAAGAGCGCTATCCCAAACACAACGATTGTGGTAGAATGGAGCCGCGCTTAGACAAGAGGAACACAACTAGTGGCTAGTTGGCAATCATGGAGCCCAGCCATTTATGAGCGGAGTTGGCCGAATGCAGTGATTCCGCGCCCGTGCCATGTGCACACGACAACAGACTTCTGCCTCTAAATTTCTAGTTGTTCGCGGCCAGCATGAATACATGAAGAAGTTGGGTCTCTGAGGCGGAGATGCCTTCCCCCTCACGTTTTTCTCGCTTCGGTATTTCAACCACGTAGTTCCACAATCTAGTTGATTTTGTGGCAGGAGCTTCTTTCCTTGTGTTCGGTTCAGTGCTATGCAATTATGTGGGCATTGTATACGAGCTTCCATAGGAAGTTTCTCAGGCTGGGACTTTGCTTTTTGGAGATAGTTTGCCACCTCTCTCCTCAGCCAGGGACCCGTTCCCCATTGGGGTCGGAGCGTTCTGGATGAAGCACAAGATACATAGGGTGCTAGTCTTATGGCCGGATTCGATGGCGTAGCCTCCCGGGGCATCAGAAATGGAGCAAGGTAGCAAAGTCCTCGTAAGCTCGAGGGAATACGGATGTGATCATAGCTGCGGGAGCCTCAGGTCTGGTCTTCTGTAGATTGGGTGTGTGGAAAGTGCGGCAACACTGGCTTGGCACGCATCAGGGGTCTTCACTTGGTCCTGGTCTCCCATTGGACATGGTAGCGGCCCTGTTACTCTGTTTTTTGGCTTTTCCATTGGCGCTGATGATCAGGATCTGCTCTGCATGACCGCACTACTCAATTGACTCAAATGAATGTCGGAGCATCTGATCATGAAAACAGTGAGACACCCACCCTGGTTCGTTGGAAGTCCTCTTGCCTTCGTCTATATCAAAACCAATACATGTGCGCCTACGAAATGTGAGGGGAGGCCGATATATTGTACAGCAAAACCCTTTCATGTCTCTTGTTCCTCGGAGTTCTCTGCGGAGACCTGACCTGATGGTCTGGGCATGGTTACCATCACATGTGTTTGCATTCTTGGGATAGCCTTGTTACTCTGTCGTTTACATCACGATCTTTACCTCATGGTCGCACTGCTGCAAACCGAATGCCACTGACTCAGCTACATAGATGAATGTCGAAGCATCTCAGAACGGCGGCGTACCCTCCCCGGTCCCCGAAAGTCTCCGTTTGTGCAAATCAATGCATGCGCGCTTTCGAAACGTGAGGGCGTCAACCCAACGTTCTTCCATGTTGCTTGTTTCCCAGAGTTGTCGGTAGATCCCTAACCCGATGGCCTAATCATGGCTGTGGAGAATTGGCAGTTTAGTGACTACAAAATCTCGCTTTCGTCAATGAAAGCCAGTGCGACCACCCCCCAGTATGAAGGTCACTTTGCTCCTCGTCCTCGTCGCACTTTTCGGTTCCGCAGCCCTTTCCCATGTTGAGAGGGCAGGAACCAAGGAAGAGATGCATCGCCGCCAGGTACAGTTTCCTCGCTTGCGATATGCAAATAATTCCACCCCCGTTTTTCCCCAGTTAGAAGCTAAGGCGCGCCACCGGGCCGCCCGTAACTGCGCCCCTGCTATCCGTGCATTCTACGTCCGACGCCGACAAGCTCGCAGCGTCTCCGGGGAATTTTTGCGTTCTGAGAGGGCCATTAACGAACTTCGTCACAAATCCAAGGGCATTCATAACGTAGGCACCGAGAGACTTTTGATAGCACAGATACATGACTGAAACTGAGTGCTGTCATAGACTACATGTGTACTCACGCCTGAGACCACGCAGGGCCCGTACTATGTGAAGAATGTGGGTTTCCTCACCGTGATTTCCCAGCGTATATGCTCATGATTTATCAGGAACTCGTCCGTCGGGATATTCAGCAAGGTCAATCCGGTGTTCCTTTGATCCTAGATGTTGGCGTCATGGATATTACTACTTGCAAACCTCTGCCTCGTGCATTCGTGGAACTTTGGCATACTAACGCTACAGGTAAGTTGTCTCTGCCTCCCGAGCACCATGGCATAATATTAATGGCGCCCCAGGATTCTATTCTGGCTATACTGGCTACACTCTCCCTCTACCGGCCAATGACACCTCGCCGCCGCCTCCTCCCAATTCCACGTTCCCTTCTCCGGTAAGGAAACCGGTTCCTTGCATCATCTTACACTCGGTGGATACGACTGATAACACCCCGATGTAACCAGCCACTGTCGGATGAACTTAACTTCCTTCGCGGCGGATGGCCGACAGATATAGCAGGCGTCGTTGAATTTCGAACTATCTACCCAGGCTACTATAACCATCGAGCCATCCACATCCACGTGAGCTGTATGAGCACATCCGATCCCACATTCTCTGATTGGATGCTCGACGATCTCTTAGACTGCTGTTCAAACAAATTGGAAGGAGGCAAAGAATGGTACTATCGAATCGACTGCAGGAAATTTGTTGCACGCCGGCCAGGTTTATTTCGACGACGCCCTCAATGATAAGGTTGTTTCCACGAAGGCATACTTGAACACTACACAGCAACGCACATATAATTCCCAGGATATTTTTTTACCATTGCAGAACTCGGGTGGTTACAATGCCTTTGCCGAAACTTATCAACTTGGGCCTAAAGTTGAGGAAGGTATACTCGCTTACATCAGTAAGTGGCCTGCGCTACTTTCCCCCTGAACGGATTCTGAGTCTCTCCAGCTATTGGTGTGGACCCTGCCGCGAGATATTCATTCTCCAGCTCGAATTATTGGGTGCCCAACTAGGTTGTTCTCGAATTTCTCTCTGTTTGAATTGTACGGAAGGTACATGTCTTTAAATTGCACAATACGTTCTCGACCCGG